CTGCTCGAAACTGGGATGGAGCCAAGAAAATGTCGAACCATCATCCGAAAGATGCTTAATGTCTTGGTCAATGACAGGCGTCGAGTTTTCTTTGCCGTATGTGTTTGGAGACTCGCTGTGATTCAGATCAAAAGAATAAACAACAACGGTAACCTTTTATGACGTAAAATCGTTTTAGAAAATAAATTAGACGGACTTCATTGAATGATAATGCAAGATGGATGTTTTTCAAACTAAGCAAAATTCATATTCAGGGTTTCAGTAATTTTTTTCTTTGTTTTATGTACAAGATATGTTTTCCGAATTTTAAAATGTATTATTCATCAACAGTGTTTCAGAAAATTAGTAAGTATAAATGAATTTTTTCCTTTGTTTTCGTTATAGGGAAGAAATTTATTATTTCCTTACACTTATCTGTGTAAGATATTCGTGATTTTATTAACATTAAGGCATTATAAAACTGATCAGTTGAGCTTCACTGTTTTTGTTTAACAAATGCCTAGAACCTTGTATATAACAAATCATTCATGCAAATCAATAATCGCTAGCCCTGGCTGTCTTTTTATGTGAGGCGGCCACTTCTGCAGAAGACAAAACGTCTGGAAAGTGGATGGTTAACTCAAAGATATTTCATTGTACATATGTCTGTACCAGAGCATTAAAATCTGTCTGGAAAAAATGTAACTGTAGAGAGAATAGAAATAAGCAGATTTTGCTATGGAATTTGTGGGCGGAAAGGGCACGTTGAAGTGATAAAGGATCTGCATGCAAAAATTGCTATTCTCCGTGCAAATTTCAAGCGGTATACATCTCTACACAGACGCGGATCTTCCCGATACGCATTTCAGCTGTGGAGTTAGTAAAAGAAAGCAGCTGCTCAAAATAGATGCGGGCGATTGTTCTCTATACCTTTTCTTTGAGTAGCTGTTCCTTTTTGCCTGTTAACATTTTGGTGAGCTCCGCTTTCGTATAGTGATGTACATTGTTTAAAATTCGCTCGGAGAATGACAATTTAGCTCATGCAGAACATTTCTACCTACAGCTCAACATCGCCCTGTATCATGTCAACGTGCCACACATTACCGTTACAAAATCTGCTCGTGTGGATCCCCTCTACCTCCCCTTTAAATTTTTACCAGATATTTTTGAATCACCCTTTATATATAGAAAAATATAGATACACATTTTCGTATGTCCCTAGATGCTTTTCTTAGAAGAAAAAATCAATCCAAACATAACCTATAGTAAATAACAATATTATTTTATCGATACACAGAACAGTTTCCTTCCTGTGCTTCATAATATTTTCTTTAACTAATTATGACAATGCCTTCGTCAGGATTCGAGCCGCAGATCTTCCAATTAACATTAAATGACACGAGGGCACTTGAGAGAATGCGATTAATATATTCTGTAAAGGGTTTATGAAAAACCAATTTTTATGATTTCAATAGTTACTCTAAGTTCTTGTTTTGATAGTCCTCACCAGGATACAAATTAGTATGAAGAGCATGTAATTTATTTTCTCCCTCATTACCGCACGCCTTTATGGTGTTATTTGAAAGTACGGTTGGCTAGCAGTCGAAAGGTTCGCAGTTCGAATACCAGCCAAGGCATAGTTAATTTTTCTTGTTTCCTGCTTCCACAATCCCAACGACACTACAATTTAAATTCCATTTCTTCAAGGATATCTTTGAATGCCTGATGGAATAAACTGCATAGTAATTCGGATTTGCAAGAAGCTGCATAAATAAATTTATTTTTGAATTTTACTTTTGCCGGAAGCTAGCTAATACTATTTACATTAAGTTTAAAGACTAAACTTTATGTAATTTTGTAATTTCAAGTTTTATTTTCATTTGTAAAGTAATGTTTTCAGTCCAGAAATTTGCGTTTTCAGAGAATTAGGGTCCCCACAATACGTTTCTACCATTTTTAGAATGATATCTGTCTGCCTGTGGATCCGATACAAAATTTCCATTTTCCGCATTTAAGATTTCTACGTTAAAGAGTTGATTAAAATTTTGGGTGAAACTGGAGAAGCAGAAGTGGTACTTTTCCTGAAACCCATAAAGGCTCGTCTACAACTAGCTGGAATTTGAGCTTTATATGCATGTAAACTTGATGGCTCCATAAGGGCACTCACTATCTCACTATTTTTACCTCCCGTCAACCCATAAACATAAGTAAGGGAAGAAATGTTTTTGGTCCAAAAATTTGGGAGTGATTTTTTTTTTTTTTTTTTTTTTTTTTGTAATAAGTGCGATTTAGTTTCTATAGGATAAGTTTTTAATATTTCTACAGTGACGTTTGTCTGTTTGTGTATTTATATGCGTGTGACGGTTTTTTTGTCCACGATAACTCATATATGAAACTTTCAAAAATTTATATTTTTCGTGTTTAAGCTTTATAGATGCATGTAAAGAGTTGATTAGGTTTGGGGGTAAAACGGAACAATCGAAAGTGCTACTTTACAGGAAGTGCATAACAGTCTTATGTAAATAACCCTTTACTTGAAGTACTATAACAGATTTTGACAAACTATACTAAAATATAACCAAAGTTCTCAGATTTAGTATTTATGAGTTTTGAAACAATGGGAATAACTTACTAGATTTGGGCTAAAATTGATGAACTGGAAGTGCTACTTTACTTGAAAGCTCTGAACAGACTTTCGTAAGAAAATATTGTTACGAAATGTACAGGCGCGGTAAGATGGCTTCATCGCAAAGCAGTTTTAAGATTGCTATAAAATGACAAGGGAAGGCAGGGTTGCCACATTTGGCGACATTTGACGATAAAATTGGCGATATGCCATGGACTGATGGAGAACCTTCTGGAAAGAATTCTTACCGGTTTAGCCCAGAATGTTCTCGAACACAAGCCGAAAGCTATATAAACCCTGCTGGTCCGCAGTCAGTGTGTGTGCCTCGTCTAGCGAGCTGATAGTCAGTCATTGAGCGAGTGTCTCGAAGTCTAGCGCCGAGTTGGTCGTCGAGTGCATCGCGAATGAGTGCATCGTCGAGTTTTGTCTTAGACTGTGCTGAGGCGAGAGCTATACTCTTGTGTATCGTCGAGTGCATCGCGTGGAGAGTTCCGAGAACGACCAAAACAGAGTCGGAAGCTGTACTTTGGTGCTTTGCAGTGAAGCTGTCTCCACCGTTATTGCCTGAAAGGCTGTGTCGCTGAACAAATCAGCGTGACACGACACTATATATTATATATACATAGCATGTTATATAACAGTTCGACGAATGTAAAAGTGATTTTTAACAGTTCGACGACTGTAAAACAGTTCGTTTTCTGTCATAAAAGTTCGACATATAACAGTTCGACGACTTAACATATATAACAGTTCGACGACTGTAAAATATGTTTATAACAGTTCGACGACTGTAAAAGTGATTTTGGAGATGTGTCCTGAGAATATTGGTAAAGTGTGTTTCGATACTTCATCAAGTGTCGTCGTTATTCACTCCAAATCTACGAACCCTGTACGAACGTGAAGGAAGAAAATAACGTAACAATATGTTATGAGACAATCCAAAGCTTCTAAAATTTGATATTTGGAATAGGTGAGCTCTCCTTATAAGTAATTAAGTTAGCCTCAATCCTCAAAGTATTCTTTTCTCTTTTGTGTCGAATCACATTTTGAATAAAAGGATGCTGCCGTCAAAGCATCGATATGTATATTTTTTAAAAAAAATAGTATAAATTATGTATCGAATATTTAAAAAAATGCACGGAAACGTTTAACACTCTATCGCGAAATCTAAAGATATGCTGCTTTTAAAAATTGTTTGATTGATAAGTCATTGATTTGCGAATCCGAAACGCTATATGACCAGAGGATAAAATTGCGATCGATGCGATTTTCAAAAGCATGAGAACTGATGTGTACTTGAGCACGTATAGTTAGTTATCTTTGCTTACTGTATGGGAAAATATAATACTAAAATATGGGTACAGTTTATAATTAACCTTGAGACATCAAGTTTAAAAACAAATTAGATTTTACTTACTAACGATCGACCGGAAGAGATAGTGTAATTAAAGCTCGCTACTTCCACGTCTTAACGGGGAATTGGTCGGAGGTCATGTGTTGGCCATTTTTTCCAGTAGTTTCGAAAACATTTTAAAGTATTTTCACCTTCCAGCATGATCTTCGTGTGTAACGGTAGCACACTAGGCGAGTATTCGACGGGTCCAGGTTCGAGTCCCAGCGAGGGCATTTCTCATTTTCACTTCTCCCACTTAAAAACCTAATGAGTTACTATGAATTAATAGTTACTAATTAATGAGTTACCCTTACTACCTGAGAAACGAAGGCTGAAAATAATCTCGAATTGTACCGATTACTGACAGACTTTAGAAGCATGCATAATTATATATTTTCTTTCGAAGCAGTAAGAAGGAGCTTATATTCTCTTTGAAGCTCGTTGTTTCTCACTTTTACGCCCTTAGGGAAACCCAAACAAGCTTCCAAATACCTAGCTATGTATCATTTAACAATAGCATGAGAATGTGAACTCCAGTTTAAGACAGAAACCTTTCTAAACTCGAATGGAGGATTTTTTTTCCTTCGCGTGCCATGGGGAGAAATTCTTGTATTATATGGCTTCAAGCACATACTTAATCCTACCTTCAGAAAGGAAAAACGATCATGTCATAGCTGTTAGAACAAAGGAATGGTAAAATATGACCTGAAAATATGAACTTACATAAAAGTATGTAAACTATCACATATAAACTATTATGGAAGCATAAAATTTATTAAGTGTGACAAAACTAGAATTTGCGAGAATATCGTAACGTGATATAAGTTCGATCTTCTACAAAAATTTCAGTTTGTCCGCAGCAGAGTAATGTGATAGTTCGGCTAAACGTTAGCTTATTTAGCTTATAAAAGAATAATTTCATGAACATTCGTCTTATTATCTTACCTACGTACATCGTTGAAATTTCTTTTGAATCATATAATGCGAGTTATAGGATTTAAAAGATTACATTAGTAAGAAGGTAAGTACTGCAAGGTATTTACAATAATATCAATAAGATTTTGGTGCCTAGAATAGGTATTAATTTCCATAAATAGCATGAATGAACGGACAGACTCTTGTCTTGTATATGCGCCTAGTGACACACTTATCAGAGACAAAATTAACAAAGAGACTTTTTGCCAACTAATACTAAGAGAAGGAATAAAATAAAAATCCGAGATTTAATGTCTAAAACTCGGGCTTCTGATTAAATAAAGTTTAGACCAATTCCCGAAAATACAATTTATGTTAATTCGTATTAATTCTTTTCAGATCACTGAGACTTTAAATCAAACTCAGTTTCTGTGAATGGAGATCCAGCTGTTTTAGATGACTCTATAACATAATTGACTTCCAGTTCGTAATCTTGTAATGATCCGATTTTAATATTGTATATGTCATATACAACATTAAAAAACATTAAATACATGTCGTATTTAATATTAAAATCAGATTCAGAGTCTCCTAATTCAGCAAGAGGTTAAATCTAATTTTCATGCTAATGTTAGAATTTAATTTCCTCATAATCTCAATTCGCCTACGAATGTACATAAACACTAGAGAAAAGTTTTTTGATTGGGTTAATGATCATCACGCAAGTAGTCCTGCTCGTTCTTGGGTGACATTTTATTGCTCGGTCACGATGAAGATCACGAAAGCGAATTTGCTGCAGCAAACAAAATGCAAAATGCCATGATACACAGTAATTTCTATCAAAAGCTTGCAGAAGTATAAGAATGATTTTATACTTTGTTAAGCATAATTTTGTCTACGTATTTGCATTCGAGGACCAAATTCAAGATTATTATTATATTTCTACACGAGTAGTGTCTATGAGTACTAAATTCAAAATAATGCCACGTATATTCTTACTTTATCGAAAGGAAAATATGTTAAATTCAGAATTTCAATATGAAAATTCAAACACGAACGTCAAAAATAGTTTTTTATTTAAATTTATATCGCTTCAAACAAATGGTACATAATTTACATAATCCTTAAGGGTTTTTGTTTGAAATTTGGTAAGACTTTGAGAAAGCATCCACTATCTATTATTTGCGAAACGCACAGGGATATTCTGTGAAATAAAGTACTGCTCGTACTTACATTTTAAATAAATTTCACATGCGCATTATTTTTAATTTATTTTGCAACATAAAAGAATACAGTGATTCATTTTCAAAAAGCTCGGGAAGTTGTCTTATATAAAGTGCTACTCGTTCCTATATTTCAAATGAATTTGACATAGTCAAAGTGTTAGATTTATTTCGCAAAGTGAATGAATGCAGTGATATGAATGCAAAAATTAAAACAAAACTGTCATTTTTATAAATGCAGTTACGTTTTTAACTGAGAAAACAAAGCGAGGAAATGCGTTAATCTAGATATGCTGGATAGAATCCTTTGTCGGCGTTACGCGTTATGGTTTCACTTAAAAAAGTTATAGTTACTACTTTCATATCATGCTTAGAAAATCTATGAAAGGAATACTTTTTGAAAATTGTTTCCGAAAATATTGTAGGAATGAAATGCGATCACCCTATTCGGGAGACACCATCCGTGGTATTTTAACTTCAAGCTGACATAAGTTAACGCGCGAACAATTTATACGGGCCGATGACCAGATAGGCTTCGAAGGCAAAAAACACTTCTTTTCCGCAAGAGATGCTCCACCGAATGAAGACTAGTTACAGAAGATTATTTTGAGCTTGAAACGTATTCCGAGCGTTTAAATGAATACTTCACGATGCGAAACATTTCGTCTTAAGCATCGTATCATTCATTTCTTTGTGGAAAGACTGTAAATGTAGCAGTCTTTTAGACATAAATGTTTATGGAAATCATATTTTCGTTTGAAAAAGGAGTGTGCAAGGATTATGAGAATGTACTATATTGGCACTAATGAGAGATAGAACGACAGTATGTATGTTATAAAATTTTGATTTTTAACTGCAGAGAAATTTTTTTCTATTTTTTTTTTTTTTTTTTTTATTTTGCATTCAAATTTCTAATTTAAATTTGAAACCAAGTTTTCAGTTTTAATATCATGTAACTTATTTAAACCTACATAACTTTTACAAGCATTCGGCTACTTTTTATGATTTTCTACGAACTGTCAACTTATTTGTTACTTTCTTCTATAAAATTGCTTATGCATTTCTCCGTCATTAAACCACCTTCAAATACCTTAGATAAGACTGAATATTCATGCAATAATTTTTAAAATAATTCTAGGTGGTATTTAACAGCTTTCAGTCCCCGTTACTGATTCTGCATTTTCCGTGTTTCCTTTTGCTGTGAGACTTCATGTATCCATTTATGTGTCTTCAATAAATAAGAATTTTGAGTAGCATTAATTAGTGCAATTTTATGATGACAGGTTTCTCCTAAGATGCTCAACTACTAGTGTTTACATTAAATAAATTAAATAAGGACGCAACTTTCTCATTTTAGTTATTCAGAATTTATGTATTCCAATAATAATGTTTATTATTGAATATTTTACAAGGATACTGCATGCGCTTTCTTAAAACTCATTTCATGTTCAAACACTAATCAAACATTTTCTGAATAATAAAAATGAAGAAGGCATATTTAAATTAGGTTTAATTTCAAGTTGATTAAGGTGATTCACTTTATTTTCTGGTATTATATACGCACATAAAATGATGGTACGTTGTAAAATATTTGGTGTAAGCATGTTTCCAAAGTGCTTCAAAATCTACTGAAAAAAAGTGCAGATATAAAGTATTCGATAAATTTTAGATCATCTGCTTGCTGTTTACGACATTTAAAATCTCAAATTTAATTTTTGACCACACATAGGATGTCCCATAAGCCTACAAGCCTACGACTGATCATTTTGTTTGCTTTAGCACTGCACAGCGAAGAGATATAAACTAATTTCAGTAGTTGTTATCGAAAGAATTCTGGTGGCTGAAATTATCTTCATCAATGTATGCAACGCAACAGTAAATTTTGTCAGAGATTTCGTAATTCCAGCTCTGTATAAGCACCAATTATGTAAAAATATATCCTTTTGTAAGTTTGCATTTCCCCCATCTTCCGCTAGTAATTTTCTTTTGCATAATGTTTTCTTGGTTCAGGTAAAAATTTGAAATTCACATTATGAAGAGCTTTATTACAAACAATCAGTCTTCTAATCAAATATTTGAAGAATCTTTTTATTTTTGTCAAGTGTAATACTTTATCCTCAGTAGCAAAAATATTTCATGGTATTTAATTTTTTTACAGAAATTTCATTTTTTAGCATACTTGTGGATTAATCAGAATCTAGACCTGCAATAGTTACCTAAAGTAACATTGACGACTATCTTGAAATTCATTACATTGTTGCAGCAGAGTAAATCTCGTGACAGTCTGGTTGTTTCTCCCCACTTACCTTCTTCTGATAGATATTGACTACTTATCTTCTGTAACAAAGCTTCAAATTAGAGGAAGGAAGTGGTCTTCAGGCAAGATAGCTTTCATCCACTGCTCTGGATTAATATTATCTTTTATTGTTCACCGCGCTGAATAAAAGTTATTTCGTCTTCATCTTCGTGTATCTAAGCTATCGAGATTTAAAATACTATGACTTGTTATTCTTGTACTACAGGAGATTAAGGACATTGTTACGACTGAAAATTCTTGCATTTATTGGCAAATTATCACGATTTCTGGAGCCTAGCTTATTTCTCAGGTTGCAGATAATTCATAAATACCTCTCACAGTGAAACTGCCAAAATAGTTTTCAGTTCTTCCAAGGTAAATTATTTGTGTGGTGAAACGAAAAGTGATGCATATACTCGTTAGTTAGGAATTTTAAATGAACAAATTTAGATAACCCTCTTGTACTACGAAATTATTTGTTACGTAAAATAACGCATATTATATATAGCATTTACTTATTACATCTCCTGCATTATTTTTATTAGTTGATTTAATATTCCCTTTTGTTATACTTTTTAGATTTTTTTCCTATGCACGGAACCTTGAGCAGCTTTAATAATTAAATGGAATTATATTTAATATTTTAGGAAATGAAGGTGTTTATAACACTGCTGTCAACATGTATCATTTTAGACCTGTCCTGTAAATACTGTGGAGCGGTTCAAACGTCACTTATTCACGGAAAACATGTGCACGGCGCTCCTCTCATAAGTAAGTCTCTTTCATGCAGTAACTAATACAAAGCTCATTAGCATCAATAGATAATTTAACTGATAATTGACAAGGTATAACCAGCCGAGTTGATGGGTGTTTGTTTAGTCTGAAAAATTGTAACTCTTATCTTTTATTCTGGTATTAAATTTGACACCGCTATAAAAGCTTGATTTTCTGCTGATGTTGAGATGCTAGGAGTCAACTTTCGATTTTTCGATCTAAGAAAACGCATAATATCTACTTTCCCTTAAATTGTTTAACTCGAACACAACATATGCAACTTCTACAAAATCAACCAGGTTTTAGAGAAATTTACTGATTTTTTAGCCATAAATTTAGACACAACTTTATATTTCTGAATTGTAACTAGGGGTTAAAGACACAACGCACTGTGTACTTTAGATATTAGTTACAGATAAATTCTTAACTTCTTGACAATGAGGTTTATAATTGTTAAAAAACTTATGAATAATTTCTGATTAATTAAAACATATTATCGTGCTTTTAAAACACATATTATCTACAAAATTAATGTATTTTGCTCAAAAGGAGCTAAGAATATAACTGTTCTGTTTGCTCAATAAAAATGGTCTAACATTCTAAACATACAAGAATCAACGAAAGCAAGTAAAATATAAAAGAAATGCCATAAACGTAATATCTCAGTATCCGTTTAAGACGAGCAAAAGAAAAGCCTGTGCACCGGCAGTAATCAGTATTGTACCTTGTATAATGATCTTGATAATATCTGACATTTCGCACTGACTAAGGAGAAATTATTTATAATATGTTCAAACCGGTTCATGGGTTACGACGAACGACATAACCTAATGATCCCGGTGTCCTTGCGATGTATGTGCTCACGCTTCGATGCAGAACTACCGAAAAGAAAGTTATCTACAGTTAATTTATCAAAATTATTCAATTTAATTATAGCTGTGATTCGTTCTTTCATTTTAAATTATCACATTCCGTTTCGTGCGGTGTTCTTGAGTAAAATTAAAATAGAGCTAAAACTTATTATTTAAACATACTAACAAAAATCCTGTACAATATAATCTAATTGATCTTTGCATAGATTATTCGTTGTACTCAAAGTTGGACAGCTAACCTTGATCTGCCTAGTTTGTATTACAGGACTTAACTAATGTTTAGTTCTTGTACTAGTGATTTTAATATTTTCCGAATAATTCAGACTTTGCAACACATAAAACGCAATTGCTTTGCCAATTTTGTTCGTGAAGTTGTTTAAGCCTGCAGAACTGCGAAACGTCGAAAACACTTAAAAGATTGCTATTCATTCAGTAATTTATGCAATCAAAATAGGCAGTCATATTGCGCAAGCGTTTTACATCTTAATTTATTGAATGTATGTTCATCTATAATAAAGATTCTCGTAAGTTTATACTAGTACTAATTTTAATAAACATTTATTTTCCTATTTTAGATAGATCTGTTTTCAGCATTGTACGATTCCTAAACATACCATGCTCTTCGCCAAATGGGCAGATGTCAGGAATATGTTTCTCATTAAATGATTGCATACGATTGCATGGAACGCAAATTGGAACTTGTGCTTCAGGATTTGGAGTATGCTGCATTTGTAAGTATTTTAAAATTATTTCTTTCGTTTTGCTTGAAATCTGTGTACTTGATTTTATTATTCATTTCCTGTTCGCTTTGTTACTAAAGGGAATACACAGGAAAAGTTGCTCCTTATAAAAAACATGTTTCAAAAGAACATTAAAAATAAAATCCTACCATCCCTATAAATTATCTTAAAATGAAACTTCTCATGGCTTACGTTTTTAACGTTTCAACACGATTAACTGGCCTGAAGCATACAAACATCTCTTAATCCTTCATGAGTTGATAACAAATTATTCAAACATATCACTCGTACTTTTTGATCATCTCTAGAAATTAACTAATTTCCAATTTAATTTTAAATGCTGACAAGTATTTTCATTTTATGAACCCTGTATTCAACATTTATCATTAAAAACATCATTTAATTTATATTTTTGTGATAACACGCTCGCAATAACTTATTAAATAATGTACTGGATCACTGCAATTTGTGTCCTTTGTACTATCCTCGGCGGACCTAACTGTTATGTAGACAGTTTTTTCATTAGTAATGTAGAAGTGAGTATAATGAATTAAAGCACTGAGTCTACCATTAGCTGACTGACTAAAATCACCGAAGTTTAGTAAATGGCAGAATAATATTCGAAGACGGAATTTTTCATGACTTTCTCGCGAATAATATAACTACGGGGTTGTTTTGTTTAGAAAGCCCTCGTCGAAGGCATCCCTTTGAAAGCAGATAATCCATGAGAATGTTTTTGTAATAAGTAATCCACCTTCTTTAGAAAGTCTGCTACAAAAGTACTCTACACAACACTCTCAAGAAAGTAAAGCCTCAAAAGTTTTGATGTGATCCCCTACCATCTTGTGACAAAATTGCGCGCTGCTTTTAAAAACGTGTTGAAGGCTGAATAGTATTTGTATAAAGACCATCTTTTGAATAATGCTAAGGCACGAAGAGAAAACCAGTTCTATTGCCATTGGATGCAATCAGTGTCTATTTTCAGGGAAGATCAAACTTGGTTTTGTCTTTCCATACAGCATTCACTTGTAAACTGCAGAACTGTAGAGTGAGAGCATAGAATGTATCGGTATCTTAGACGAGGTACAAGTAGTACGTGACATGACATTAACCACTGCTCTTAGAAATATAAAAGATCAAGCTGACACGAGTTTAATCGAAGAAATGGTGTGTGATGGTCAAGAAGTTCTTGCCGAAGTCAAGGACTTTTGACAAAGTTACCTTTGCCCTCCATCTACTTATGAGGGATTCTTCCCAAATTGTTTGAAGTAAAAATTTCCCAGCGTTCTTCACACATGTCACCTTGTGATGTTATATTTTGACATTAGTGGTTTGGTTCAGAATAATGAAACTGCTAATACACAAAACAATTAGGCAGTTTTTCAAATATACGTTTGGCCTTCCACGGGCCATTTTCGTTCATAAGCAATGCACTCATCCAACAAGATCTGGCCAATTCTATATGACGGGTTCCAATTGTACTTGACAAAAATCGCTTGCAGGACCCAAGATTAGCTCGAAATTTACTCAGTCTCGCCCCGGAGGTTCTGCAGAGTGTGCAAGAAAATTTTTAAAATATAAAAGTCAAGTAAGAGATAAGTTAGGGAGATTTTTTTAGAAAAAACGACCCAAAATTTTCTAAACGTGCTTGTCGTGCCTATCTCAAAAACATCCCTAAGAGCGTCGGCGACAGATACGTTGCAAAAAGACAAGCCACGATGTGATGATATTTCACAAAGACGTGAATGAACGTTGAATTATTACCTTTAGCGAAAACGGACATTTAGCGAAAAATGTTTTTATGGCGGGCATTAGCCAATTTAGGCTTTCGCCACTGTTAAAGCCAGAAGCAGTGGTTATTTTGCTATGGAGGCACCTAATAGATGACCTCCGTTACCTGTTATGAAAGGACAGGACACCAGAGACGAACATCTTCCCCCGGGGGGTGGCTATGAAAGGACAGACAATTTATATCCATGCCTTTCCAGGATTCTCCTTTCGGTACGGCAGTTAGATTCACTAACTACTTTCCCTTGCCGGCAGTCATTTACGGGAATATACATACATGTGTAACAGAAATAATGGTCACAACCTCAAGGGGTAAACAGCATAGCGATAGTATCAATTTCCATCGTATAATGTACATTTATTAACACAATTAAAGTAAATAAGTATTTCAGAAAAAGCATTTGTTGTAATAAATGTTGTCAAACCAAAGACAGAGACAAAAGAAGCTATATATATTTGGTACAGACAAGATTTTATTGTATATAACTGACTTGGCATGATTAGTATGAAGAAACATTATCCTTCGTGTAATAAGCGTCTGTCAAGCAAAGTTTGTCGGCCTTCCTCATAGTATTATAAATGCTGACCAGTAAAATTGCGAATTCTTTTTAAAAGCCATTTTTTTCAATGACTCCTTAAACCTTTTTTTTCGTGCATCTTTCTTTTTCAGTGCAGTATACTTGTCAGTACCCTTTTAGTTCAGGTAGATGATAGAATTAATTTTTACTTTTAATTATCACATATTAAATTCTTTAATTAATGATTTATTCTTAATTTTGTGTTAATGGTTCAGTTTAAACTATTATGAATAGTATTACTTTCATAACTAATACTTCCCTTTAAATATCAATACAAGGAAATACACATTTTTTTAATTCGTGAAAGGTAGTTTTTAGAAACTTAAAGCCGTCTTTCCTTTCCTTAAAATTCTTACTAGTTCAAAGAACATGTGGAACAGCAACTAATCAAAATTTTACTCACTTCACTAATCCTGGATTCCCCCATGAGATAACAGAATCAGCCGAAACCTCCTGCACCTTAACACTTCTTCGCCCACACAAAGCTCCATTATGCCAGATAAGGTTGGATTTCATGGATTTCGAGTTGGCTAAACCAACAGATGGAGATTGCCTGGATGACAAATTTAGCGTCTTTGGAAATAACATCAATGCTCCAATACCGAAAATATGTGGTCGCAATACAGGACAGCACAGTAAGTAATTATATTTTTATTACTGTCGCACGAATTTGGATCTGCATTGGAATGCTTTAAAGTTTTAATTATAAAAAGCTTAAAGTGAATTGTCCTTCTTTTTTATTCAGATAACTGTAAACATCTGTGAGGTTACTATTATTTTGTATAACCATTTGTTTATAATTTCAGCCTTTACTGTTACTTCTCTTTTCCATTTCCCTACCAGAATTCAAATTAGTTTAAGAAGTATTTAAGTGTAAGTTTCTGAGTTGTAAGACAGAGCGTGGTTTCTTCCTCTCTAGCCGAAGTTATTAGGTTTTGCTATCTCTGATAAGATTGTAATTCTTCGGCTTTGCATGATAGCTGCCGAAATTTAAATCGTTACGCGGTGAGAAGTTTTGAGCCAGTTTCGCGTTAAATCAATTTGCGTTGTCTTTGGCTACTAGCTTATTTCAAATCTGAACTTACTGTTATTTTAAGCTCTCTCACTATAAGTGCTGGCTTTGGTAATGATCAGGCAGAGGAATTATCCAAAGAAGCAGCTGTTAATCAAGATGGTATTGAAATCACCCTTCCATGGTCTCGCTCAAATTTCAAGTACCAACTAAAACAACTTGCTTCATAGTATTGGTAAGATTTGTGGAATAATTCTTCAGAGGGAAGACTCATCAGTAACTTCATCCTAAACGTAAGCTTCGCATTTCTGTACTCGAATCCTTCATTAAATTACTATATAACAGGACACGAAGGAATATATAACTACATATGCAAGGAATATGTTATATATTCCTCACAGTCCTATTATATAGTAAACTAATACTTCTAAGCTAGAAATATGGCAAACTCCGACATCTGCATATGTGGGGGACATGCCCCTTAACTGAGGATATTCACAAAAAATATCCACAAAATGATATCCAGGCATTTCAAAGGTTTCTAATTAAAGATAAACAACAGTATCCAAAGTTTTAAAAAATTATGCATTTACTGTCTTCCTACGGCCTAGATCTTTGTTAAATATAAGTTCTCATACTGTATAAATTTAATGAAATTTTACATCCTGTGGATATGTACAAAATGACACCACTTGTGAACATTATAAACTGCAATAATCTTTTATAACTGTAATAATCCCATCGACACTTCTTTATTATTATTTTTACAGTTCATTATAACATTGTGTTCCCAGTACTTATTATATCTCATTATGCTTATCTGTATAATTGTTATGTTTATCTGTTATTTTTGTTACACCAAAGAAGATGTCCAATTTAATTTGTGAATTTCAAACTGTATTGAAACTATATTGTAATCTCTTTATATCCAATATAATTATTTTTAATAAATACTGGATGTGGGGCATGCAGTGGGATTGCACGATGTACCATAATAGGTAAACTCTAGATCTTTAAAAAGCTTCAAATGCTCATTCTCTCAACCTTTCTTTGTGAATTATTATAAAGCTTGCAATTTTTTTAAAGAATTATTTAGTATGGGAAAGTATTACTAGTTGACCCATGGTACATCACTGGTGTTCCATATACTTTTTTTACCTGTAACTGCACCATAAGTTCTGGCTGAGTTGTAAGCACCCCGTGTGTCTTCTGTTCTTCTTTGGTTTAAATAAAAGGGTCTTTTACATTCTTTTCAAGCCTCAGTTGTTATTCTAGATTTAATAATAATTCGCTGTCTGTCTATCTAAAGTTTTATGATAGGTAAAAAAAATTAAACTTTATAGAATGGTGAAACCTAGCACCAAGAATTAGTTTATAAAATATAAATTAAAGTCCTCTCTTTATTAAACAATGTATACATAAAAGAGTACTTGCGTAGATGCATATAATTTGTGCACACCATGTATATGTATGAATATGTGCCTATTTATATTTTTTCCTCAAGTCCCTAAATTATTTGATAAAATTTAATTCATTAACATTCCTAAACTGTTTAATAAATCTTAACTGTAGATATGGATGTTAATGAATGACTTTCAATTGGTATTTTAATTCCTTGCGCTAATTCGCTCTGGAATTTAAATTCATACTTTGAAAATGTTCCTATTACTTTATGCGTCATTCAAATTATTATTAAATTTAATCCTTTGAAAACGTGTTGAATCTAAAATATATTAATAAATCATTTAGTGGATTATTCAAATTTCTACTTATGCATTAGAATTTTTGCATTATTTAGGCAGTTTTAAACTGCCATAACTCTTTGATTATGATTTAAGGCCTTTGATGTACAACGCTATGAAGATGGTTTCTCAGTATTAGCAGGTTTTATTCTCTTGTAAATGAATACCGTATTTCACTATAGAATCAAACATGAACTATCTTAAATTTATCCTTTTAAACATCCTTTATTCGAAGAATTGTGTTTAACTGACTTAAATTATTTCTTCCTTAGTGTATATAGACGTTGACAACACTATCGGACCAATATATTTGACCGTCTCTACGAAAGGCATAGGAAAAAGGAAATGGAATATTAAAGTTCTATTCATTGAATGTAATAATCCTTCAAAAGGTAAGTAGTAAATTACGTAGTGCTTACGTAATTAAGTAAGCAAAATTTCACTTTCCTGGTAGAATATGCTTCAAAAGCGAAAGCACAACCTAGAAAATGGAACAATAGAAGTATTTTAAAGAAGTTACTATATTGCTTCGAAACCATATCTTTCATTTTTAGTTAACTGAATTTCTAAATTAATAACTATCCACTTGCAAAGCCTTTAAATTCGGCACCTAATATAATTTTTATTAGTAACATAGACTGGTGTTCAAGAGAATTTTCACAATTAGTTGACTGTCTTTAGAAATGACGGTTATATTTTAATAAAATTCAGCATAGACATAGGCTGATGTAATGTAATGTATATATATATATATATATATCATTCAGCAGACATGGTACACATTAATAATCGCACGTAAGGCTCATCGACGAAAAGGAAGGCCTAAAATAGACTTTGCGAGTTGGAACAAAAACGGAAGACTAATAGGGTATGTGTCCCTCCTAGCAGTTATACAGCTCTCAAAACGTGATTTCATACAGGAAGTCAGAGGCAGTTTTGAGTCCCTGTGCAAGCTCTGTAATGTTTTGAGACAGGGAATAAAGCATCCCAGTTGTTTTTTAGGCTTCAGGTCTAGAGATCTGGCTGAACGATCCATTCCGTTAATATACTTATTTCCCAGAAAATCCTCCGCCAAATTTGTCCTATGTGGACTATCATTGTCGTCTATAAAAATAGTCAGCTGACCAACTTCATCCTGAGGGGAGTTGGCCCATACTGATTTTAAAAATTTACATTAGATTAATTTCGAGACAATTATAAATAAATAAGTACATTTGATATTCGAATTTTATAAAAATCGTAAACTCATAGGCTATTTTACCTGAGTTCGTTGGCTAATAAATTGTTACTGAATCTTAACCATTTAGTATAATTAATTTTTATACATTTAATTGTTTCAAAACGTTGCGCTCCTCGGGATCCCAAGAGTATGCAATTACATTTAATTTTTTATTTTTTCCTATTTTTCATTTTCTTGTGTTTCAGCTCAACCATACTTTTCGGTTTTTTCGAAGGGATTAAGCATCTGCCTGAATTATCCTTGGTGCAATTTTTCATTGCTTTGATAAGATGTAATTAGGCGTCTGAATTATAAAAAGACATCTCTCTCATTGTGCTTGCACCATTTAATGCATATATAGTTTTGTCAGTTATTGTAGAAAATGTTAAGTTCCTTTACACTTAATATTTCTCTTATTATACTAATATTAGTTTATTTCCTAACATGCTGATGAAAAAGAGCTATCGATATTCAGTAATATCAATATATAAAGTTATATATGTAGGGTTTTAAATTAAATCATGAGTAAACTTCCTACAAAGTATTTCCAACCGAAAATAAATAGTTCAACCACTTGCGGCAAAATATCAAAAGGAGAGATATTTTTAGTTAACGGAGAAAATACATTTTAGTTAAAAGTAGCGCAAAATTTCAAATTTTGTGATTTTATGAGTTAAACTGCAGAGACATTAGGTATTTTGGAAGCAGGAAGATGAAAAATATGCAACTCCTTCGCCTGGAATCGAACCGCGGACCTCTGGAATACGCGCCGAGCGTGCAGACCACCACACCAAGAAGGCAGGAGAAATACCTTATAAAATACCCGAATTACGATTTCTACTGAGCTTATCTAAGTTAATCAACGGAATATACCGGCTGAACAATCGATAGGGGACTATTTTGAAAACGAATGTTACATTGCTAGCTCAAACGAAAAGTGACATAAGTTAAAAGTAAATTTTCTGAACCTTGGACAAAATATTTCAAATGTATATGGCCTATTATTAGTGTGAAAATACTTCAAACATTCGCATGAAAGAAGCATTTAAGAGGCTGGCTTCTCTGATAAGTTAAATGAGAAATAATCCGCATGGAAACTCAAACAAACTTCTCATCACGAAAAAGCAAACGGATGGCATGATCAACAAATTTGCAGCCATTAATAGTTACTTGACCTTGTCGTCGGTTTCACACATCACGTTCATCCAAAGTGCTGCTTTTGAGGGGGGGGGGTAAAATAGTACTCTTAAGCCGACGTACTCTCATTTAAGCCAGTTGCCGCTACACATCATCCATTTTAATGTTTGTAACGGGTGGAGAATACGGAGCTGCAGTAATATGCAAGAGTACCACGCAGTCCGCTAACTTTCTGATTTATTTTAAGTTGATCACATACTGAAGTTTTTTCAAACATTTATGGATCTTCAGTAGATCGAAAGAATATTAACTAGAAATTTGGGAAGCAAAACAGTGTGCAGTAGGATTTAACATGCAGTATCTGGGGTGATGAATTTTTGCTGAAGACAATATCTCTCGCGGAGATAAATCACAGAAAGCAGGAAATGCTGCTGCAAAATTGCGTATTAGCAGTGGGCGATGACAGTGCCACAGCATAGGTCACATATTCGATCAGTCCCATAAATCACATATTCGAAATTTCCAAATCATTCCTACACAGTGCCTAAGAATTTGAAATTTTGCTCCAAATTTGAAGAATATTGCACGCAGTCTGGATACCAGTTTCCCTTAAAAATTCTTTTATGAAGGCATCCCTCTTCTCAGGCAATTAGCCGTCTTTGGATATAATTAAGCATACCCAACCAAACCTACAATCAGTCTTTGTTTAGTATTTTCATATAGATCTAGGATGGCCAAGTCACCATAACAAATACCTACAGCTTTATTTGGTCAGCATTTTCCCAGTGGCGTAGCTAGAATTTTTGCCACTCGGGGATGTCCTTGAGTTTGCCGCTTGGGATGGTCTCCTAATTTGCCGCCTCTTCATATACAAATATATAGCTACAAAAAATGTCAAAACTACACGCAGGGAAGTAAATTAAACTCTACGTTCATTTTTGAAGAAAAACTTCAAATCTAGCATTTAAAAATTGTATTATTATTATTGTTGTTGTTATTCGCCGCCAAACCATCAGTGACATAGCAGAGGTGCATTCGTTTGATCTTGTTGTTACGTAGACAATCGAGAAAGGTTGTGGTGAAGAATCTTCAGTCACAAATCTTTTATTTCGGGTGCCACTGTATAGACATTATGTTATTTTTTAATGCTAAGAGATGTAAAAAATGAGCAATGCCCTCGCTGGGACTCGAACCTCTGACCTCTCGAATACGCGGCGAGTGTGCTGGCCATTACCCCATGAAGGCATGCTAAGAAAGCGGGAGGAATATCTTATAACCTCTTGAATGATTTTTATTTAGAAAACTCCTCTGACAACAGCAAAAATTTCAGAAAAAGACAGGAACGCTAGCAATAGTATTACAGTGTTTGGAACTTTGTTCTGGAGATTGTATTTACTTCGTTTTGTGTTACTTTGTGTTGATTTTGTTCTGGAGATGGCATCTACATTGTATTAACTTTGTTCTGGAAATTGTATTTATTTTTTTGCATTAACTTTGTTCTGGAGTTTGCTTTACTAACAAACTGCGAAAAAATTCAAAAGGACCGCCCTTCTTTGTTTTTTCTCTAGTGTTAATGGAAGAAAACACTGAAATATTTCTCTCTTAAATGTGAATTCTTCCTTATTAATGTCATCGTGATCTTAATTTATTTGATATTCATAAAAGTTGTTCAAAAGTTTTGACGGAATCAAAAAGCTACAGCGAGAACTGTAGCTATTGAAATCTCGTAGTGATTTCTTTATCTAGAGTAAAAACAATTGTTCTTGTCTATTTAATTCCGTATGACAGTTCAGAATGTCATTATTCTCATTATTAATTAGGCCTTCAGGATGCACATGATTAACCCACATAAAGTGATGTTTCAGATGAAATATGCCGCCCTTAAAATGTGCCGCCGAAGACGGACTTCGCCTTCCGCCCCCTCCTAGATATACCACTGCATTTGCACCGCGTTTAAAATTAAATGTAATTGCTCAGTTATTTCAGTCAAATATATAAAAAGAGATCTTCATAAAGGTTTCAGTTGCATTGCTGCATTTACAAGCATAATTGTGGTTCAATATTGGCTGCAATGCCTGGTTTTCTTTTATGCGTTTCCATAATTCATTCACGCTTAAAAGAAGAATAAATGTATGCTATCATCATGAGCTCATGAGCATTTTGTGCCTAATTTATTATTTTGTGATCTTTTTTTATTATTTTACGATCTGTTCATTAGAGTCAAATTCCTTCCTGTAAACTTCCAAAATAGCTTTAAATTATGTGTTTACAAAATGCGTCTTAACAGCTGCTGTGTGTGAGAGACCTAATTATTACTTATTCTATGCTGCTGTTTGAGGCATGACAAAAAAGAAAATGAGTGGAAGTCTCTGTATTTTGATACCATGCGTAGATTCAAACTCTTACATGCAAATTAAGTTCAGATATTGATCCTGTGCTGTCATTTGCTCTTTGGGTCACTAGGTTAATTGAATTTCGTGTGAATGGGATGTACCTCTTCCTTTTCAGATAAGATATAGATTATTATAAATTTCAGTGGTAAAATAGATGAAAATATTCTCTTAATAAATAATTTTTGCTGTTATTCCAAGCTTTTATTTTAAAGCTACCTAAATAAATATATACTCCAAGTGCTGCCTGACCCTGAATGATCTAAATTGAAATGATTTTTATCTGGTTTTTGCGTAATTTCAATCTTCCCTGAATAGCTAATAAGATTATATCTATGTCAGATTCATTATTTCCTTGTAGATATTAAACTTCGGTTCATTAAAATGATGAAAAGTATTAGGAACCTCATTAAGTGCAATAACCATTAAGATTGAATTTTTTTCAGGCCATCTTTTATAAATGATTTTATGTCTAAAACTTGTTTGACTAGTTAAATTATGTCTTTTAAGAAACAAAAAGTCTCATGACGCAAGTATGTTCATTTTTCTAGTTTTATTTCCTGTTCTAAAATATTAGCTACCATAATAGTAACAGAATGAGAGTCTATTTTCGTATAATAATATAGCATTCAGTCAATTTACCTTTGGACAGTAGTTATTCTAGAAGTCACACAGTAATATTTTAAAAGTGCCCCACGCATTTTTATTTATGATATAGAGGCACAATAAATCAATATGTGTATGCACTACTTTGTGTTTCTCTTTAAATTACTGTTACGTTAAAAAAGTATGAAATTTTATAAAATCTATTTCCGTTTCATTCTTTAAACCGCATAGAATATTACTGATGTTTGTGTACAGATGTAGATACAGAGAAATATTTAAATTACTATGAGAATGGAATAAAAAAGTATCCTTTGAATTCAAGTTTAAATGAGTTCACCAGTTTAACCTTTTCTACACCAAATAATAAAATATGGACTGTTGATATACCCCTAAATTATTTGAAATCAGAAGAATAAAGATGTGATAGTATAATATTATTTACACTTGTTCGGATGTGATTTAACAGTCCATATTTTATTATTTGGTGTAGAAAAGGTTAAACTGGTGAACTCATTTAAACTTGAATGCTAACGGCAAGGCAACTGGTATAATTTTCATTACTAAATTTCTGTAGTTATGTGGTTATGAGAAGAGTTTCAAAGTAGAAAATCTTTGAAATAAATTGTGTTCTTCATTTGAGTCATATAAGGACTTTAATTTATTTCTGTTAGTTAAGCTGTTCATTACACCATAAAAAGCGTAAGAGAGGAATACTTTTAATTCCGCATACTGTGCTAGCTTTCTTTATTTTGCAAGAGAGTTTTAGCATTTAGCATAAACTCTTAAGTATAATACTCTGTTCTTAAGAACTTTTAGAAATAATTTATAAAATGAAACTATCACATTCAGAACTGAATTTATCCCTTTTTAATATTAATAAGACAAGTTCCTTCCCTTCAAAATTTAAATTATAGTACCCTAACAACTGTGTAGTACATACACTTTTCGTTCAAGCTGATCTGGTAAAGAATAATGACAAAAAGTAGGCATCTTTGTAAAGGATATCTCTGGCAATTTTCTAAATATCTGTTTTTATTTATTCTCATTTAAGAAAATGTGCACCTAAACTCTAATATGTTTGAATTTATTGATGAATATTGAAAATTAAATGACAATGATTTTTCTTGCATTTTCAGCTCCACAAAACTGCCTCCAATATTTCACTGGAGTTACAGGGAAGTTCTCTAGTTTCAATTACGTCGCAGATCAATCTTCAATCGAAAATGGCGGGTACTTGAATAATCTCAATTATGCTATATGTTTCCGAAAAGAAGTTGGACGTTGCTCTCAAACCTATATTGCTGAAGATATCAGAAGTTTTATTCTTTTGAATCTTAATCCGAATAACTCTCCAACTGTTGGAGCTGGGGAAGCTGGTATAGGCATTATTGAATGCCCGACGGATTACCTAAGACTTGGAGGGGACAGATATTGTGGTGCTAGACTTAATCCATTAGTAGGTGGACCTAATCCGACTACTAACGCCCCTGTTACAGGTAAGTTATTATTCTACTATAGTACTTTATATTTTCTTACTTTTTAAGTTCATTATACAAAACAATTACAATGTCAAGAAGTCATCAAGGATAACCACGAACATTAATTCCTTGGTTCAGAACCAAAAGGAATCTGAATTAACATATATCAATATCCAAGGAAAACTATGCCTGAATAGAAATTTAATAAGTAGCTTCATCTACGAAACATATAATAAAGCTATCATCATTTTGTTGTACATAGTACTGCACATAGTACTTCTAGAATGTTTTGGGGCCACTTATTTCAGTTAGTTCCTACGAAGCTATCAAATAAACATTAGGTGGCACTGATTACTAACACATCTCAGCTCGCTTTTCTAAATATATTTTCTGCCAACGGCGCATTTTAAATGAATTATTTTGTTTTATTTTACACCACTGATATCTGTTGTTGCTAATTCAAAGGCTGAAAACAGGAAGTCAATTCCAAATAATTGATTGCAAAGAAAAATGTGATCTTAGCGCTTAATTCCTGGATTTTGCGCATATGGGTGCTTTCCTTCTAAAGCTCAGTCAGGCCTTAAAAGACACCTTTTTAAGAATATAAAAAAAAATTGGAAGAAAGTAACGAGGGAGTTAAGGAAAAAAATCCTTCCACTAATTTATACCGCTATTTAATATTTTGAAGTATCAAATCATCCTCTAAAGAACCATTAAGATTTTCAGGCGACGTTATGGCCTCATCTGCTTTCTAACTGCTGTGTTCTTTAACCATAGGTTCTTCAGTCCTAAAACTTTGTAAACATTTGTGCATATGTATATATGTAAATATGTATGTTCATATGTGCATGCATATACTTGCATATATGCATGCACATATGAACGATATCATAAGTAATTCGCAATCATTTAATTCCTCGAGTAAAAATTTTCTTGCAGTGAAGAAGCAATCGTAAACAAACAGATCTTTATTTTAAAGGTAGCTATAAGCAGTAAGCGTAAGAAGAGAGGAATTTTAATTCAGAAGTTAGAATTTCATTGAAGGATTTTAACACTTTTTCGCTAGACATGGAATTATCCAGTTATATTATAAGTGAATGTAGTAATATATAATAATTATATGTAATCCAGTTATACCATATATCAACATGTATGATATTGGTTGAATATTTAGCAGTTGTTTGCTTCTGTCATTCCTTAGTACTCATACCTTTTACGTGAGAAAGCCAATGGGTAAAAGAAAAGTTATGTCATTGTTAAAAATGCTCTTAAGTGCTTTTCAAAACAGGCGCCATTTAGCGATGATGCAATAAAATTACGCTGAGAGAGAGAAAGGCGTTTCTCATTTAAATTCTTCAGCATCTCTTTCATTTTTGAGTATTCTAGAGCTGAAGAAAAATGTTCAACTACCAGAAAGTATTGACGACTACAACATAAGCATTGACGAAGTTGAATTATTTTATAATGAAGCGAAAACTTTTCATTTACTTTCCTTTACAAGAATAGGTCAAAGAGAAGCACGCTGATTTTGATTTAAATTAATGTTTTTTCTACAAAGCCAATAGTTATTGATGGCACTTTAAAACTTCCTGAAGTAAGACAGTCCTTAATATGCGATAAAAATAAATGCAGTTTTAAAAGGATAGTTTCCCATTAAAGATAAGATCAAAGAATCTGGAATTAAAATCATATTTTCATTTTATATTAAAGTGCTTTTATGTTTGTATATGTATATATATGTAAACCAACCCTCTGATGAAGACGTGTCGAGAGATGTAAAATCCATTTGCACTTATAGCTTCGCATTTTTTGTGTATGAGATAATTTTTGAATGAATTTTATTTTTTTCCCCAAAATGGTGTGTTTAGGGATTTTGGAATAGCTCTCATATTTTTATTGTTTGTTTATTACAATGTTATATGCATTAGCAAATTCACTATTTTGTGCCAATATTCCAAATTGAATATGATACTTGATTTTTCTTAGATTATGTTTTCATGTTAATAGATATATATATATAAGGTAAAAAATATGAAAATCAAAATTCTGACTTTACTTTGCAACAGTTTCTTAACAATCCACTTTAATTTCGCTGTTTCCCCTTTCTGTCTTAAAAATAGGAAGTGCTTATAATAAATCTCTTTAAAATGCATCATTTACAAAGTAAACTATGTCATACGATCTCATATAACGCTGTAAATGAAGGTACTTATGTAAACGCTGTAACCAGTCTCAGACATCTAAATCGAAATTATCATTGCGAGCTATAATTTTTCTGCTCTCTTACAGGCTTTTTTTCTGAATGCGATACACTTTCCTGCTGCTTGCTTTCATCCAGCTAACACGTTGCCAGTCACTTCTGTCTTTCATCCATTGTCATTTATTGTAAGATGAAGAGAACTTAATAAAATGTGATGAAAAATGGATGCGGAATGCGCCCGTAATGGTGTATGATTCAGATATGCTTCTAAAAAATTGTTTTGTCCAGAAATAATGTGTGTTCAATAGTCACAATGGATGCGGTTGAATGGAATGGCAACTACTAACAATGTTAGAAGGTTTCGTAAGCAAGATAAAACGATAGGCGAAAAACTCTCAGTTGCAAATTTTTAGAAGAGTTCTGCAGGGCAGTTTGCGCATAACTTGTATACAGAAGATTAAAAAAATAAAATAAAAATCTGAAAGGTTTCAGATTTTAAATTACGTCCAAAGGGGCGTTTTTTACATTTTGTCTGTTACCTTTATTTATTAAATATCACGTTCTTCGCACTTGAACCATAAAATTCAGTTCAAGAGCAATATCGCAAAATAGTTTTAAATTGAGCATATCTTTAGAAGTTCCGATGCAGAGTCTCACGCGCTGGAGATAAAAATGTTTTTTCTGTACAACGTTGCCATTGCTAGCTTTGAAATCCTTGAGTTTGTTAATCAAAAACTCGTTAAAGTTTTACAAAATATGAAATCGATAACAAAACAAATTTGCGCTTCCACAGGCCCATATTCGCAGTAGGATTGCGTCATTCAAAATTCAATGCTCTATGTACCGTTGTTTAATCACAATGAGAGAAATATACAAACATTTATGCACATTTTTCATTATTTAATTTCTTCAAATATAATGCAGGCCAATTTTGCCTATAAAAGTGCCAGCTTGTTTTATTTAAAAACTGAGTTTTAATAAAGGTCTTCAAAGATTGTTTATAATAACCCAGTCGGTTTTAAAGAAACGATTGTCAGACTGAAATTGAATCTGAACTATTCATGGGTAATTGTTTTAGCATTAACGAAATATTTTGAAAAACTTAACATCAGAGAATCGCTTAGTTTCGAGACTTTTTTAAAACTATTGGTAAAAACAAAATTCTCGACGAATGGAGCTAATAATGAAATTAGTTTTATTATCACATAGAAGCTTTATCTGCGTATGACTGCTCAGCTCCAACTTTACGACCTATTGTTTATTTTTTCGAAAGAAGCAGCTTTGCAGTCATTTCTGCTGCAAAAGAATTTTTCTTGAATTATCAACTTATCTCTCTCTATTACTTGTATGTAAGCATTTTCATGCTAAGTTGCCCATTCTATTCGACTTTGAGATCAGAAACCATACATATATCCGAGATAATAGCATTCTGAAGGAAAGTTCATGCTCATACGTTAAGTTAATTTGTTTTAATAAATGCCGATATCACACCATATGCCTGATTATACCGCAATGACAGAATGAGTGAGCCCTGTATTCTGAGTTCCCACACTGATGAGGCATTTGGCGTTATGGTATGATTTACTATTCGATTGGCCTTATAAGGCGATCATGATCATGATTTTAAAATCATAATCAGCCACTGCTACACTCTGAAGCCTGTTGTTCTCCCTTACCTTCATAAACCAGCTTAAGCCAGTTATCAGTAGGACTCGCAAGTCTGTGTCATGTAGTAGCCAAAAGTCTTTAGACGATCACCATACTACTCATCTTCCTTAGCCCGCACCTTCACTGCGTCTGTTCACTTAAGTAATACGTCTAGTCTGTGATCGCAAAACAGTTGGCTAATACCGGCTCCAGTAGATGACCTAACGACAAAATGTGAACAGGCGTTATTCCACCCTAGCCACTATGACTATGGATGCAGCCATATAGTAGAAGTAACTGCCACATGTGATGTCTTTACGTGATGCTGTTTTCTTTATATTTCGCGACTCGCAAGGTCTCTCGTATTATAAATCAGTTACAGCTGTGTTGTTCAAGAACAGTGCCATAGTTGAAATCACTTCATCGTTGTACCAAACTTAGTTATGACAGATATATTTTGATTCATGTGAATAATTAATCCCTCGATGTCGTCGTCTGCCTCAAGATCGCATTAATCAAATCTAAAAGGTATCATTTGTTCCTGTTCAATTACTTTTTATGTAATACACATTTTTTGCGTATTCTGTTAAAGAAGATTAACTGCAATCAAAGATTAAATCAATGCAATGTATTAAACCTTTAGCAAAACCTACATTAGTTGCTGACTTGTTTTCCCACACAAGAAACGTTTCTACGACTTGTTTGAAAAGATTTAATTTATTTCGTATATGTGCAAATTAACGACAGAAATGCCGCTCGAACTCACAGCAAACCAGTATTATTTAATCAACAACAGCATTCAGAAATATTAGCTGCTGCTTAAGCGATTTCAGACTGCAAAATATTTCATCAATTCCTTCACTGTTATCTCCTTTGGAATCTGATATTCACACTCCATTTGTTCATTGCTTTTACATAAGTTTCTGGAAGATTACTATCACTCAATTCGTTTGAAATTGAATCTAGTAATAATTCATATATTTTACTGTACCAACTGTCTGCCCATTTTAATGTTGGTAATATACCCACGCTTTATGGTGACAACGAAGTAATTGGATGGCTGTCAGTATGGAGGTAGGAAGTAAGAGTAGTATAGAGCTGTCAGCATGGAGTAGGTTCTTTCTTATCTCCACGGCTGTCAGGTTCTAAAAGTATGGGGAAGGGAATGCTTTGAAGCGAATAATATCATTACACTCACGGTTTTTATCTCACAGCCATAGAGGTTGATTAATTGATTACTGCAAGCACTGAAAACTATCTGCTTGAGGAAGGAGACTTTTGTAGTGGACTTTCAAAAAGAAACTGATTCGTATTCATGACTCGCATTCGGACTACCAAATGTTCAGCGGTCTTACCTGCTTGGCTTTTGGTGAGCTTCACAACCATATAGGATTCTTCAGTTACTGATTGTTCTTATGTGGTAAATTTAATGGCGTGTTTATCAAAACTGCCTGCCCGTATAAAGGTATTTTCACGATTAATCTTGCAGCATTAACTAAAACCTTATTAATCTAAATTGTGTTGTTTTTATTGGTTTTTATAATTCTTACACTACAAATTATTATTTTGAAACCGCTATCAAGTGGAACTAAGTGTTTGTTAATAAGTAGTATGTAAGTGTTTATTAACTTATTGCCAAATCATTGGTTTCATTAATACATAATTTAACATGTCATCATTTATGTGCATGATGTTGAGAGAAAACTAGTTTTTCGATTTACTTTTTTATCTAAGTCAGAAATTTTTTTAGTCGGAAATTATTAGCTCATTTTATTTGTGTTGTATGAGTGTGGTTGTGTGTGTGTATGCATAATAAAAAAATACATTTTCTGTTTCAGATAATAATACTGGCCCTTTCATTGCCCTGTTTAACACTAATGCCGAAAATAACGCTGTTGGCTTCAATCTAAATTATCAACAGAACCCTTGCAGCACTAATTGAGGGTTATATGTTGAACCAGATCATCTGACCAAGTCTGCGAGTAACTACAAAAAACAGAGTTCTGCTATTAACAGCCTGTGTCAAAATATGTTTGTTGTACATCGTTCGCTGTCAAAACATGTTCGTTGTTGTGCTTATTGCAACCATAAAAACATCTTCTGATACTTGATTAAATATTTAAAATTTAAATTCTTAGAGATATATTGTTTGTTCTAATGTTTTGTGCGTGAAAATTGACTAGATGAGAATAAATTTTCTCGTATGATGAGAGAAGAATCGTCAAAAATAGGTTAATTAAAAGTCGTTATTATTATTTTTATTTCTATCTGTCGTTTTTTAAAAAGGGTAATACTTTGAAAAGCATATAATCAGAATTAATTTCTGTATTTATGCTTATATTTCTAACAACAATATAAAAATGCAGTGCAAATGTCTGTGTGATTTCGAAGTAGCGGCGAATAAGTGAATTAAAAATGCAATAGACCTTTACTAAAGAAATGTAATTACTTCTGTAGTTTAACTTCTGTAGTTTCTGTAGTTTAACCCCTTAACGAACGTACTTGCTATTTTCTACCAATACATTAGCTTTTACAAGTATTATTCTTTTGGGTTATTCTACCAGTAATTATCCTAGCGTGATATGAATGCACATTCGAGATAATGGTGCCAGACATGCCCACACTAGAGTTAACTCAAACAGTGTCATGTTTTATGCGCCTCAATGTACTTATTGAAATAAATTCACGCATTAAATCTAACCTCAAGAACGTTACTGATCGCATAAAGTAATATGCAACCATTGGTTATGGTCGCATTATTATTTTAAATGTACCTTCATAATTTATCTACGTTTAAATAATTTTTGTAAGCCTCAAATTTTGTGATAATTTACAAACATCCGTCAATAAATATGTCGATAATTTTAATTCAATGTTATATGATAATCTAGAAACGGTTTTTTTCTTCACTTTAGATCCGTTGTAGTTACTGTGCGTACATTTTAGGTGTATGACATAAAGAAATAAAACTAATGCTTTCTATTAAATATTTTATTTTCTGTTCTTATATGTGTAAGTATTGTATATAATTTTTTAACAAAATAAAGATTAAAATAAGAAAATTTCTACCAATCTGTTGAAGTAAAGAATTCTATAATTTAAAAAGACAAATAATTTGAATGTTTTCGAAGAAAACACTTATTAAAGCAGTGGTGCCCAACCTTGTGCTCGCCGAACGTTTTGTAAGTGCTCGCCAGCCCGATTAGGTACTATGACCAAAAAATATTTTTAAAATAGCCATTCATTTATATTTCTTAATTGTTAAAATATGGGAAGCATTTATAGTCATAAGAAATATCTTGCAAGACGTTATAAAATAATTTATTGTTGACTGCTGAACTTGATAGCGAACATGGAATCTTATTGCTTCATTCCGATGTCAGATGGCTCAGCAGGGGAAAAGTACTTCAACGATTTTGTAGAACTTCTTTCGCCAATAAAGCAGTTTTTGGAATCCGGAAACGAATGTTGTTATAAAGAATTGGACGATAATAATTGGTTATCCGATTTGTATTTTCTCACGGATAAACTGAACGAAGATCTCCAGGGAGAAAAAAACCCTTTTCAATTGGCTGGGACTGTAACTGCTTTTCAAATAAAGTTAAATCTGTGTATGAATCAGATGAAAGAAACAAAATTCACCCATTTTCAGAATTTTATCAAGCCATATTAATAACTAGAAGGCAATTGAAACAGAGAAATACTCGGAAAACCTAAATGCAGTGAAAAATAATTTTGAACTCCGCTTCTCTGATTTCCATAAAGTTCAACCAATATTATTATTAATCTCAAAACCATTTGCCGAAATTAATATTTCAGATGTATCACATAAGATTGGAAATATGTTTAACAAAAATGTTGATGCTTTGGAAAGGTGCTCGCGATAGGCCAAATGTGCTCGCGATAGGCCAAAATGTGCTCGCGATAGGCCAAAATGTGCTCGCGTTAGGCCAAAGGTTGGGCACCACTGCATTAAAGAGTTAAATAAAAGCTATACTTTCTCAAATAAATTAGGCTTTGGTTCATTAATATAGCTTTATTCTCTGTAAATGGTACATAAATGTATTTAAAGAGCAAATATGAGGGAAAAACAAGTTAAAAGCACAGCATAAAATTAAGTTACGAAAGGTAAGCATTTTCTTTCACAAGCTAATATTTGCTTAGCAGTTTGTTACAGCATCACATACATATTACATCTATATATTTATTACCATAATAAACATTGATTGTAAATGCTGTGCATTGTAAGAAATAAGGGTATAATTCATTACTCAATTTTAAAAAGGCTTATTACATTATAAGAAGTTGCTTTATAGATATATATATACAGAAAGGGGGGATTATGCAGAAAGCTTCACATATATTTTTATGCCACAAGTAAAACATATTACACAGCAAGACAAATTTATACATAATAAATTATTATATTTGAACGAATGAATTAGTTTATATTGAATATTAATGATCAGTTATTTAAAAATCGGACATGGCATATTGATTTATACAGAGAAAATAAGAAGGTGTGAATTATTAGCATATAGAGCATACAAATTAGTAAAAAGAGCCCAGATATAAGACGCTGTGGATAATTGTTTAGTACAAGCAGAGCTTAAATTGCGCCGGAGCCCACCGGAGCCCGGCTCCGGTACTTCTTAGTTTTTGGAATATATTCTAATTCTAGTCGGAGCGCACTGGAGCCCTAAATAAGAAGGCTCCGGCACAAATTTATGTATCAGAACAATTATTTTAGTAGAAATTTGATCGAGGAAATTTTATTTTTAGCAATAAAATTATATAAAAAATCGCTTATTAAATTTTAATCTATCTCTTACATTTTATTTAATTTTAATTATTTAATTACTTTAATCTTTAATTATTTTAATAAAAAATAATAAATGTGAATTAAATAGACAATAATTACAAGTTAAATAATAATAAATATTATTATTATATATATTAAATAATTATTAATTAATTTGATACTCATTAACTATTTAATTTTTAAATTATTAATGATTTTAATGGTCATTTTGTTTATTTATCTACTCTTGCTCCTCTTTGGTGATGGTCTTTCATAGGGCTCCGACACTTCTACTTTTAGAAATTAAGCCCTGAGTACAAGTGCGAATGGCATTACAGTTGCTTTAGACATTTTTTTATTTTCTGCTGATTGCTGTTGATTTATTTGTTATACTTAAGTATACATAATTTAATAAAAATACGTAAAGACTTAACTATAAGTAAATTACTGTAATCATTTTAAGTAATTTAATTTCTACTTTTAAGGAAACCTTAATGTATTTAATTTTCAGGGTAAGCTCAGAAATAAAAGTGTTAAAACAGCCTGTTTAATTAAATATGCTTTTTTAGTAATTCATGATTTAGCTTACTGGTTACCAAACAGAAGTGCAAAAGTATTTATTACATTAAAAGTGCGGCAAAGAAAGCGAATATAACCACTATTTTACTATTAATTTCAAACTATTTTATACTTAAATATAAGTTAAATATATAAGTATTAAATAGTGGTACTTTATGCTTAAATATAGCAGCGATTTCACGTTTAGTTTTGCTTCACATATGATTTACATTAATCTAAAGCATTAAAATAGTATTTAAATTTTTAAAAAAGAATGGTTTCTTGTTAGTAAAAAGTTGTGATGTACTCTAGGTGTGTTTCAGACGTTATAATCCGAAATCCGGTATGTGACACTTCGCTTCCATTCTTTAAGCAACATTTAGTAAAAATTTTCCAGTTCTTCGTCTACGTGGACATTTATGGGAAAGAATTCGGAGGATAAAGATTTAATTGATTATTAATTAAATTACTAAAAAGAACAATATTTTATTTAAAATAAATCAATCTGGCTGAGATTTATTGCAGTAAGCTTATTTCCATGGGCTGTTTGTTGACTGATTTGTTACGTTGCAGAGCAGGAAGATTGAGTATACTTGAAACTAAATCCAGAGTCTCTGTTTTCCGTTATTTCCTGTCTGTCATCGCTTACAAACGTGATAATCATGGGGCCATTGCTCTCTGCAAGGATAATTTACAAAAATATGTTTGTTAATATATCATGTGAAATATTAAAACATTATTTAAAACATAATTAGCAATTTAACGTCACATGCAATTCGCTTTTGCACTGACGACAGGACGGTCGGTCAACTGGAGTTTTAGAATGTTGGCTGTTGATGCCCGCCATTGTTTAACTGTGTCCGAATTTAATGGGACTGGGGGCTGGATATGAGGGTCTCTTACCCCCTTTTTCCTACCACTAACATCACGAAAATATTTAGTGCTATCACGCCCGAAAACCCTATTCACTTACAAGAATCTCTGTCTTCTCTAGGATTCGAATTCAGGCCCAAAGCTATGGCAGTCAGCTTTCCTACCATTACGTCAGTTTTGCTACTAATACAATCACTGAAATGTTACGCTAAAAATTGATACTGAAGGTTCTTGCAGATTCTTTAATTTTTTTCCGTGTGCCCTAATTTATAGTATTTATAGCATTGGTCACCATGACAGAATATTCTAGCAGTTTAAAATGCATTAAAGAAAGCGCTATCAAAAAGAGGACCATCTAGGGATCAAGTGCATTAAAGCATTAAATATTGGTACTTCGTTTCCAAGTTCAGTTCCTGAAAGTTGCATGGTCTAGTTGCATCCGGTTTTCATAACCCCCTTTATATGTAACATCATAAAAATCTTCCGCGAAGGCATCCTTTGTAAACAGAAAGACACTGAGAGCTTTTCTGTGAAAAAGAACTTAATCATTAAAATGTGTTTGGTACAGAAACTTTGAATTTGTTGTTGTTTCCACGAATTCATCATGACCAAGAGAAAGAAAGCGTCAGTTGCTGGCCAAGGCCTTGACCATCTTATAGGTGATAGCGCAACTTTTCTCAGCTCCATCCAATTTTGATGGGAATGGAATGTAAGGATCCGGAACTCTGTTTCCCTAGCATTACCCTTTCGACGTAATCTTCGGCTAAATGGAGTTTTAAGTGCCTGCATGCCACTAAACAACGGTACATTTATAAACATCCTGGGAACATAAATTGGGACAGAGTTAATGCCTTCTCTGGCATTCAAGCTCAACGATATGGCAGCAGACTCTGTTAATTATCATGCTACTCAAAGCGTCATGGGAGAATTTAAACTAAAGCAGCGATTTCTTTATGCCAATGAACGAAATTATTTTAACTTACTAGTAAATACTATTGTAATACTATTCACTTTAATATTACCATGTATTAGCTATAATTCGAGCATTATAAAATCCTTCCTCATCAATCTTAATTTTCAATATAACGTCAGAACTTACGTATATCAAAAACACTGTAATTTATTTCATTAATAAATAGTTTCTTTACCTGCATTTTAGATTTCAGTCTGCAGATAAACACTAAGTTTTCTATTGCACGTCAAGGTATATTTCCAAAGCCAGAAAGCCCTAGCGTATTTTTTTCACGATGAGTGTAACTATTTATGTATTTGAACACCGCAAAGTATACGAATCGTAACTGCTTTAAAAAAATTATACATCCATGGAAGACTTTCTAAGGGAAACTGGTCGATATTCGTATTACACATGTTGGAGAAAATCATGAAACATCCATGCAGCCAGACTATTCTCAAAGTCGGAGCTGGTAGTTCGACCCGGGATTCGAACCCGGACCAAGTTATCAGTATTCAGCTGTCTTATTTACATGCCACTAGTGGGTCGTGGAAGCTGTAGACACATTAGCTTATTTAGAGAACGAAATGTATAAAATCAGCATTGCCATCGCAGGGATTCGAATCATGGATCTCGCGACTGCTAGTCGGGCGTATTACCAGCTATACCAGTTCATATGAGAAAAAGCGATAAATACTTCATAAGCATCTACTTCTATAAATTATAACTCAGAAGCATATTAATGAATATTTGTAAACATGGGAAATTTAATTATGGCTTATAATTCGGAAATTGCAATGTAAATATTATGGTAATTTTTTTTAATTTTTAGTGTCAAATGTTAACAAGAAAATTTCAGAAAATATCTACATGAAAAAGAAAATACTTGCTTTTTTTTAATTTTTTTTCCTTACGAAACTGGGCCTCACCAGTGACAGAGCGACTGATACCTCTGAATACTGGATGTTCCACAAAGTTCGATCCCAAGTGAACGAAATGGCTGCACAGCTGGTTTTCTCAAATGCGCAATGGGAGTACGCGTCATTTTTCTTTGGAAAGCGTTCTACGAAGGCCCTTTGGAAGAGAGCTTTAACGTATTTTAGTACATTTGAGTAACCTAACCTAACGTCCACACAAAATTATTTTCTCGAAATTTCTCAGAAAGAATATGTGTAGCTTTTTCTTGCATGTATTGATATTTCCTTCGACAGTGTCTCATTTGTTTTCCTACCCAGACACAAAATCTTAAGTTTGTATTAATATTTGAATTCCGTTTCTTAAGCTTATCATTAGACAAATGAGTGGCTACTAAACATTTTGATTTAAGTAGTGAAAGCAAACGTTTAAGTTTTAATGAAACTTGAAATTCCGAAATATTCACTAATATTTTGACACTTAGACTTTGATTTGAGCCAAATAGACAAATCAAATAGATTAGAAAACACATTGTTACTTAATATGTAAGGTATTTTTTCCCTCCTTATCCCGTGCCTTGGTGGTGTAATTATGAAGCACGCCCGGTTAGCAATCGGAAGGTCCGGAGTTCAGATCCCGACTAGGGCACTGCACAGTTTTCATGTTTTCTGCTCCGACTAAACTTAATGACACTACAAATATAAAGCGTCTTTCCCACGTTTTCTTGAAATACTATTATCAGCATGCAGATCAGGTAATATGAAGCTCCTGCGCTGGATTCTTGGGAAGAGCAGAGTTAAGTTTTCAGTGGATACTTACTTTTAAATTACTCAAGTCTCCGCAAAATTAAATGCCAGTGTTGATAGTTATTAATCTGTTAAAAGTTATCTTATATTCTTCTGTTTTATTACAAAATGCTTTCCCTTAAAGATTCCTCTCTACCCTTAAAATCTTTTTTTAGATTTATAAGGAATTTCTCGCGCCTTCTTAGCATGCCTTCGTAGTGTAGTGGTCTGCACGCTCGGGGTGTATTCGAGAGGTCCGTGGTTCGATTCCCGGCGAGGGTATTGTTCTTTTTTCATCTCTCCTGCTTCGAAATAACCTAATGTCTCTACAGAATTAGAGTAACGAAATTATAAGTTTATTTAGAAAATAAGAAAAGGAATAAATATTATGTATTTTTAAATTTTAGAACTACGTTTAAAGACCCGCTGGCACATCAATTAGGCACCTTCTGATCGACTGTTTTTCTGTCAGTGCTATCATTCGAATCAAATCCCCGTTTCAATCAAAAAATTCTCTTTTTCTTATATCCTTCATTCCAGGACAGGAGCTTATCTTCAAACTTGTTATGTGTAGACATGTTTTATTACGTGTGTTTTTTTAGTATTGCAGTAAAGTTTTATAAGACATCTTTATTTATAACTATTAATGATATATTACATTCATGTTAAAAAACTAAGAGAATTTTTACAATTGGCCGATTATCTCCAAATCCAGTCCACAGATTTTAATGAAATTCGATATAGATGTAGATGGTTGTAATAAAATAAAATATACCCTGCGGCAGTCATTATTGTCTATAAGGCAAGGCACTCTCATTATTGTCTGTAAGGCTCATTGACCTGTGTAGGTTTAAAAATAGGGTTAGAATTTCGAGCAGAAAGGGAGGCTTAGAGAGTATATCGTCTCCTTTAACAGTCATGCAACTCTCAAAACGTAATTTCTTAATGGAAAGGAAACAGTTTATGAGTCCCTATAGAGTCTATCCCACTCCTGCAGCATAGTTATTTTTAGGTCTCGGAGGTTTCTGAGAAAGGAAAGCCGATCTCGATTCCTTTCCAAGCATTCCAGACATGTTTTACATGGTGTAGTGTAGACGTCTGTGCTACCAATTTATCCGATTAGTATCCTTACTTTCCAGAAAATCATCCACCAGATTAGCCCTATGTGAACGAAAGTTGTCCATAAAAATAAACCGATTGACAACTGCACTCCCGAAAAGGTGAAAATAGAAATCTAAGCTCTCCTTTGTTTGTAAGAAGACCTATTTTAGCTTTTCGCTTCAATCTGTAGTGAGCAAGATCGCCCGTTTAATATGGAGCCAGTACATTGAGTTGTTAGTTAAGCACATTCGCTGAGCTACAGTACAGACTCTCAGAGCAATGGCTACGATAACAATACTTAAGTCAACATCTGCCCACAGTGTTAGGTAATAGGCTGAGTACAAAAATTTCCATGCCACACATCGTGTACCCTGAGAGTTAAGGCCAGAGATGCACGATTAAATAGTATCAACAGCATGTAGCTTGGACAGATGCGCAATAGTCTTTTCGCTGTATACTTTTCAGGAACGAATTATTTGCCCTAAAATCAGATAATGAATACATAAAGGTTTGAAGAGAATGAGGAACATGCAACCAGCACACTAACATCGTTGAAGAGCACGCCTTTAGATGCGGCAGTAGGATGGCATGGATTTTCTTTAGGATGCTGCATTGATATGTTTCCAAAGTATACTGTGACGGTGTACAAAAAACATCAGATCATTTACTTAAATTCATCGTAACTCCATGACCAGCAGACTTGTGTAAAAATTTTTATTTGTTGGATGAAAAAGCTGATCTACATACAGCAAGGCTAGTGGACAAGTGTTTTGAAACAAAGATAATGATCATATGAATTGGCCAGCTTATTTTTCAGACCTCAATTCAATCAAAAATATTTAGGTTGCTTTGAGAAAAGCCCTTCAATCCCTTTCAACTACCTTTTATAGAAAAGGAATGACCGATATTTTCCTTTGTTGAACTCGATCACCTGACTGAAGGGATGGAACGTCTGTGCGAAGGAAGAAATATCTTGTATTAAAGTTTTATAATTATTATTTGTATGGAAACAAATTTTTGTTCTCGAATATACTCAGTAAGCAATTACACTGTTAAAATGTACTGAAGTAAGTATTTTTAAATTTCATTATAATGTTCATTTATGAATAAATAACTCAAATAATTGTCTTCCTGTAATATTCGCTGTTAGTCAAAGCATAACGTTACATCGAATTTACTGCTGGGTACTTCAAGTACGGAAAAATGTGTACTTATTTACTGTGAGTTAAAATTACGGCTAGTTTAACATCATTGTTAAAATTTAAAGTCAGAAAACATAATTAATAATTAAAAGTAAATTTAAAGAAATGTTGTATTTCATTCCAAAGTTATTGTTTTAAACTAGTAAAATAAAATAAAACCATATATTTCTTTCCCCATATGTCAAAAATCACAGCATGTTATGAAAAAGTAATCTAATCTTCTGCATATGGCCTTTTGACCTTCAATAAGACAACCAGTTTAACAGGAATTTTTTTTTTCTTTATCGTTACTGCTATATTTTTCTTTATTTACTACATTACCGGTATTTTTTCTTTATTTACTTATACTTTAATTCTTAGATATTTTTTTGCGCCTTCTAATATAAAAGTCTGCTTTTTTGAATGCTTTTCGCAGAAACCGAAGCCAAAGTCCTACAAGCAATTGGTGTTTGTGTTGCCTTTAAGCGTAAAGCTATATACTCAGCAGCCTTTCGGTCAATCCAAGTCCATCGACCTAAGTTTCAATTCGAGTTTTAGTTCGATCAGCCTTCAAAGTTTTTTATGAGTCGTGAAATAGTTAAGCAGTCTGTAGTATAGCTCATTCTTTAATAAAATCTATAATCAAGCAAATGATATTTCGTGACCGTAAACGAGTATGCATAAATTGGTTTGTACTTTAATGTGTAGGATTTTGGCAAATTTAATATTTAGCATTAAAAGAAAACTAACCAACAATTAATAACTATTGCAACAGACTAAAAAGAATAACTTAAAACCACAACAAATTTACTTACGTTTTGTGTTTCTGATTATATTCTAATGTTAATGGCTCCGACGTGATTGACTTACAGCTTCTCTCAGTTAAAATAATATGCGTTTGGTAGAACAGAAGATATCAAATTTAAACTATTGAAAGAATGTTTAATCATAGATCAGAGATAATGTAGAATAAATATAATTATTATGTGTAAGTTTATAGTTTAAAAGATTAAAATTTTAACTACATTTAAATTTATAAGTCAGGCAAGACTGTTTTTTAGAATGAACTCTTTTTTTTTAAGCATTATGAATGCCATTCCGGAAATAAAAGTTACATTATTTAGTTAAAACAAGTGTTGAATCAAAAATCTCCAGTTAGATTCTTGCTCTTACAAATAAACAAATTTAATTATGAATTATTTGAAATTTATTTTAAATAATTTGATTTAACTTTACAATTTTAATATACTGATGCTTCACTTCTAAACATCACCAAATAAAACTAAAGGGACATTATAATATTCCACCTTTATTACTCTCATAATATTCCATCTTAACTAAAATTATTTTTTGTAACTATGAAACTTGCGAAATGTCTAAAATGATAACTTTAAGCACTCAGAAGAGAATGAATATGTCGAGAAATAACCAGAATCAAAGTTTCGTTCTTTCACCGCCATATATATTGTGCATGATAAAATTCAAAACTTTGCGCTTCACATCTCTGGAATCTAATGTACATATTCTTGTTATACCAGGTATTGTTAATAATATTATTTTGTAAGCAGGTCTTGGCAACACTGAAGCGGAATTTATGGCTACAAAGCTGTGCAAAAACATTTTATCCTCTAAATAAGCAAATAAGCCCATGAATTCCGAAAATCTAAAATTCTCTTCCCTGAGCAAAATATAAGATTTAATGAAATAAATGTGGCATTTATGTTTTTTTTTTTTTACAAACGAGATGTTATTTATTTCAATTCTTTCCTTTCTGCCTCTTTTCGTCACTTGGTTAGCGTATTCCAAAGTTTATGTCGATTTTGAGTGGAAAGCAGTTTTGAGTGGAAAGTGTAGAATTTTACGAATAAGATTTTGATCTGTTTCTGCTGCCCTTCATATAAAATGAAAAACGACGAGCTCTATTCTCGGATAACGAGGCATATCTTTCAAAATCCTCACGGGGAATGACAGTTCACTCCAGCACATCATTTCCATCTTCCGCTCAATATCATCCTATACCACCTCAACAGACCATTTGGGCACATGCATTCCATTACAAAATCTGTTTATTTCAGTCTGTTTCACCTGCATTTACAAATTTTTCAGATGTTTTCCGAGCACCCTGTATATAAACTGTCAAATCCACAACTCCACAGATGGAAAAATAGAAAATCCCAGCTGAATCCCAAAAATAACCCGTGGTTCAATGCTGAAAGGCATTAAAGCATTATCCTTCAGAACTTTTCTTTTTTTGCTTTTTAATAAATAGCAAAGCATCATCCGTTCTTTCGTAGAAATCTGTTGAAGGTAACTTAAAGTATATGTTGCTCTTGCTTTTCGCTAGATCGGATATTTTTGTGGGAAGTTTTGTAAGAATGTGTTTTTAAAAGTTCTGCACTTTACCATTTGTCAACCTATATTGGTGTCCAAAAGATAAGTTTGGTTTATTTAATTATGGAAAAGCATACGAGGGCTAAGAAGAAAGATGCCTTCGCGGAGGATTTTCTAAAGGAAATTGGCTCGTACTCACGTTTCGCATGTAGAAAACTATGAAAACGCGCATTCAGCCAGCCCGATCACCAGAAATCAAACCCAGATCGAATTACCAGTGTTCAGCGACATTGCCCCTCGACCGCTGTTGGGCCTCGCCAGAAATTAAAAGTAAATTGTTGTAAAATGTATGAAGGAAAGATTTAACTTAAATAGAACAACAGAACGTTTCAAGTGGATTATCTATTAATTTATACGATTCACTGCATACATGCACAATTTATCACTTGAACGTGTATACACAAAGAAGTTGCACGTATTTTGAACTTTTATACGTAAAGCTGGCTAATGATCTGAATATTGTTTTAATCTACTTACTCGTAGTCTTTGTAAAACGTGATGTTGCCGTTGTTGAAAAAGAGAAAATTGGCAAATTATGCCCCAAGGGCACCACGTTAACCTTTGATTTGGGGGGGCAAGGAAGGGGGGGTAGAAACAGAAACGTTACAGAAAGAAGCCTTCAGAACACTAAATGTGCTAAAAGGGGCAATCTCCAATTAAAGTCTCCAAGTGTGGCTCTGTTTAATATACATGAGATGCACTAGAGAAGTGGAATGGATCCTGTCAGCCTCAACCAAAAGCCGTTCAAGAATTGAAAGCAATTATTCTTTCGGAATAAGAATTTCACCCGTATGAAGCTAACAGATAATCTGGGGGGGTAGATCAACATAAGAATTACGTGGCTACTAAGAGCTAACCAAACCCCTTTTCCCCTCTAGATAAATAAAAGTTAAAGTTTAAATATTTTAATAGAAAAACACATGGTTCCTATATGGACTTTTGGTATTCTTGTTTTTATAGTGTTGTACCTGTATTATATTTTACATACGCGGCTCAAGTTCCTTCCATTTCCATGGTGTATAAGGTATCACAGTGATAAGATTATTGTTCTTATAAAAACCAGTACAGGTACAGATATAAATCAGCGGGGGACACTAGAATTTCACTAAAGTTTGTACAAGTATAGTGTCACCGAGTTAGCTGTGCAGCTCCGCCCCAATTTTGAGGAAGTAAACCCTGAGAGGGGCTGTCCGAGGATCTCGTACCCCTCTTTTCCTACCGCCAACCAACCAAGTATACTTTTGGTTCGCTTTATATTTTGAGGGTCTTTCATCTTTACTGGACAGACCATTGCATTTTTTACACTTACAAACATTTATGTCTTCTCTGGGATTCAAATTTGGGCCCATCGGTAGGACAGACAGCGTCACTAATCACTGTATACCGTCCGGCCGGCTATGGTGATGTTTGCTATGCGTCAGTGTGCTGTCCGAGATTGTTTTTGACGTTCAGAAACTACATGAATATACTTATTTAAATTTACACTTTCTAAAATAATGCCTTAATCAAAATATATAATCCTATGAAGTTAAAAAAAACTTACTAAATTTTATTCCATCGATTATTACACCTTTCTTAACTATTCCACATTTCCTGAGTGTTCCGAAGCTCAAATAATCACCAATACATGGCTTTGTTGCATTAAAAGCGTTTACATTGAAGTCACCGTCGTAGGAGAAAGTCGCTCCGCACATGCCGACTTCTTTTCGAATACAGATAGCATAATCCATGTTTAAGAAGTAAGTATCTTCGTTTACTGACTTGACGTTTCCGTAGTTAAATGACTGAAACTTTCCTACCGTCCCCGTGAAGTACTGAAGACAGTGCGCAGGAGCTAGAGAAAATGCAGGCAATGCACTTATTTGTAAATGCAATAAAATTAAACATTTAAAAAATAACTACTTCAAGAGATCTATTAAAATTAATACCGGTGTAGAAAATTCTCTTTTAGCTCATACTCAGTAGTCTACTAACTTATCTCTGTTACTACTTACTCTGCGTTTATTATAATAAAAACCTAGGAGGACAGCTGGCGTTGAAATGCACACTTATAAATTTTACCATTAGGTTTTTATTATAATAAGATTCCTTCATAATGTGAAAGCTCAAATTCCGCTTACGAGTTACAAGAAACCGCAAAAAACGCCCCCATTTCACTCCAAAAAGTCATTTAAGACAATTAAAGAAACATGACAGACATTATGCAATGGCACCTTTTAAAACTATGTTACATCTGTTATGTGTTAGAAGTTCTTTCGAAGTTTTGATTTTTCTTATTACATAGTGTGTCACAAATATTACATGACTGAATATCTCTTGAACAATTGGAGGTTGAAATATGGTTACATTTTAAGAAATGAATCAAATAAGAAAAACTTTCATGAAACCTTATTATATGCTTCAAAAAATAAGCTTGTAGAGATTACTTTAAATTTCTAAGAGTTATTTAAAGTTTAAATATGCTTTACTGTCTTTTATCGTTTCCCATCTACTATTCCCTACCTCAATGAGGTTTTAGTTTATGCAAATGAGCTAGAAGGAGTATTTAAAAAAGGTTCAGCTTACTTCGAAAGAGATTGCTTAGGAGTCCTTAGTGGCGCGTGTTTGCCGTTTGGCTTCCTCGTTCTTAAATCTAATACGCTCAGCCGTATTGTAAGCGCCTGTTGATAATCGACGGGTAGGTTAAATTAAGGGCAAACTACGATAGGTATTTGTGTCTAGCTTCGGCTAAGTCTGTTTAGTCTAGTATTAGATTAGTTTCTCATTTTCTTGAGTTAAAAGCCCGAGTGGAGGCTTTCCTGTAACCCCGAGCAGCGGGCCATCTGTTATTATTTGAGTAAATAAAAGGGTATTTTAACCCTTCTCTGAACTTGGTCATTATACACGCGAACTCAGAAATAGGTGGCTCCACAGTTCATTAGGTTCTTTTACGTTCTACATAGACAAAGTACCGAGGAACATTATAAGCTCAGTAAGCTGGTGTATGTTAATTTTTTACTAAATATGATTGCAAAATTGTCAGTTTTTGAGAAGTACTTTATGAGTTCCGATTTTTAAAGATGGGGTTAAAAATTTAAGCAAAACAGAGTTCTAGAACTAATTGCAACTAATGTGTCTCTGCAATCCTCTATTTTATTCGTTCCTTCTGATCTTTGTAGAACATTATTTTCAAAAACTGTAAGAAGCTTCATCAGCTAGCAATAAACTTTAAGTACCTGTATTAAGTTAATGAATTTATTTTACATGATATTACTTACAGTTTTATACCAAAAACAAAAAATATTCTGAATCAATTAAGCAATATTTAAACGTCTGAAAAGAAGAATAACCGTGATAGTAGATTTTATAAAATCTCTATATAATGATTATTATATCTGAATGGTGATAATGCTTGATAAAATCAGCATTCATTGTACAAAAATTAGTTTACGAAAGGTATTTTGCATGTTTTTATGAATTTTTTGTTTCAGCGAACCACTTAGCATTTTAGAGTCAAGTTATTTGGTAATATTTTATATTAATCATTAAGATTTCTTACCCATAGCGTCACTTTTACAAGGTATCTGTGTAATACGAATCCTCCATTTCCTTTCATCACTTTCTCTTGTCGTATACACATTGAAGCGGAATACCCCTGCACTGCTGCCTACTTGAACGTACACTGAAGAAGAAAAGTTGGTTAATAATGCATCAGGAATCACTAACAAAAGACAATAAAAAACAATCTTATATATTTTTCTGCTTTAGTCATTTACTGACAAGTTTTTCCTAACATTCTTCAATTACTTTCTGTCCAAATCTTAAACTATTACTTTGGTCCTCTTACATTATAAAGGCTCGCATCGGCCGATCGATAAAGACATTGAACAATGTTGGTTCGACCCGGATTCGAATCTCGGTGAACAGTCTAGAGCTGCAGTTCTGAACCCAAACGTTTTGCGTTTTTTGGTACGCAAAAAACAAAGTATTTTAACTATTAAATTCACAAATTTTGGGAAGAAAAAGAACAACTGATAAAAATTTCCTGTGATAGAACTCTAACTGAAGATTTCAAAAATAACACCCTCGTTAACTTTTGACTGAACCGAAAAATATAATTTAAAGGAATTTCAAATAAAACTATTAAAATTTTATTGCATTTTTGCACACTGTTATTTTCACAACCTATTTGTGTGAACAAAGATTTTCTTCCATGTTATATTTGAAAAATAAATACAGAACAAAATTAAAAATGGATCCTAACTTGCAGTTAAACCAAGTGAAATAAAACCAGACAAAGAAATTGATATCTCTTAAACAGGCAAAAATTTCACACTAAATTTGTAATAAAAGTATTATAACTTAAATTCTGGTGATTAAAATGGTAACTAATTTTAATCTTATATTTTTAATGTGTGCATATTTAAGAGAAATAGCCAATAGGTTGTGCAAAAGGCAAAATACACTCATGGACAAAAAAATTAGCGCACCAAGAAATAATTGCGAGATCGTAACGAAACTTGCAATGAAGGTACATGTCGGGGAGATATGTAAATGATTAGAAATGCAGCGTGATTGCGCATTACGTATAGCAGGTAGAGAGCGTTGAACGTCGTACTCTGTGGAGTATAAAACAGGTAACCAAAGCTTGTTTGAATGTGCTGACTCATTTACAAAGGAAGAGCTGAGGTAGATATGCCATTACGCCGTGTTCGAAGACAGTATGAGCAGTTGTCGCAGTTTGAGAGGGGGAGAATCGTCGGGATGATGGAAGCTGGGTGGTCAGCTAGGCGAGTAGCTCGTCAATTAGGCCGCTCTGATTGTGTTGTGAGGAGGTGTTGGGATCAGTGGACCCGAGAGATGTCATGTACACGAAGACCAGGCTCAGGACGCCCTCGACAGACCAGTCGTCGAGAAGACCGCCACATCGTAAGAAATGCGCGCGTACAGCCAACTGCTTCATCGGCCGCCATCCAGGCACAGGTAGCACCTTCACTAGGGGCCCCTGTGTCTTCTAGAACTATACGAAGGCCGCCTGGCTGAAGGTCAGTTGGTATCGCTGCGCCCATTACGTGTGCTGCCCTTGATGCCCACCCATCGACGCCTCCGTTTGAAGTGGTGTCGAGCACGAGGAAACTGGAGTACAGCGGAATGGAACCAGGTCGTCTTTAGCGACGAATCCCAATCTCGGCAGTGATGGCAATCGTGTTCGTGTGTGGAGAGCCCGTGGTGAACGCCTCAATCCTGCCTTTGCTGTACAGCGACACATCGTTCCCACAGCTGGTGTGATGGTATTGGGGCCATTGCCTACAATACACGGTCACCCCTAGTATTGTTCCGTGGCACCATGACAGCCCACCGGTATGTTCATGAAATCCTGCAACCACATGTGTTGCCACTCATGCAGCGGCTTCCAGGAGCCATTTTTCAACAAGACAATGCTCGGCCTCATACGGCAAGGGTGTCACAAAACTGTCTCCGCACTGTTACTACCCTTCCTTGACCTGCCCTATCCCCAGATTTGTCTCCAATCGAGCATATCTGGGATCATTTGGGACGACGAGTTGGGCATCCTACGAGTTTGAACAAACTAGAGGCAAAGTTACAGCAAATATGGAACGAAATGTCTCAAGACATCATACAGAACTTGTATGACTCAATGCCTGATCGTATCGCATCGTGCATTCGCGCTAGAGGGGGTCCAACGGAGTATTAACTCCTCCGTTCTTTTGCCTTTTTCTCTGAAATAAATAATCCTTTTTCTTTGATTTTCTTTTCATTTACTTATATCAAAGTAGTCATTACGTATGTAAAATTTCGTTTCATTTTGACGACTCCTTCTTGGTGCGCTAAATTTTTTGTCCATGAGTGTATATTTTTTTTTAATATTTCTATTGAGAAATTGAAAAATAATGATTGTAAAATGATTGTACAAAAGTTTTTTATTTTTTTTTTTGAGATGGTACACGTTAGTCAAAACGTTGAGAACCGCTGGTCTAGAGACATGTGAGCTTTCTCGGTTTGCCTTATGTGTAACGCGGATACCAGAGAGTTTTCCTTAAAACGTCCTCCACAAAAGCCTCCCTCCCTATAAGCAGATAATAGTCGAGCTGCTTTGACTTAACAAATAAGCCTAACATAACCTTACTTTGTATATAATATTAGAATTTCGGGGAGAGAACTATAAAAAAATAAGTTATGCTTTCACCAGGAATTGAACCACGATTCTTCTAATTTTGTTGGGTGAGTGTCATTATGCTACTAAGGCATAAAGGAGGAATACCTAAATGCAATCTTAATTTAAAGCTCTTATTCAACAAAAGTGGGTATTTCTAGTTATCATAATTCAGATTGCATTTCTGTTTAATTTCTGTACCTAATTTGGATTTTCAAATCTGCATCTTTCCGTAAAATTTTGCTTAAATATAATCTTTGTTAAAGACTGTTTGGTAACTCTAATTCTGTTTGATACCAGCACTGAATATTTTCCTACTTATCGAACAAAAAACATTTTTATCGTACATGCAGATTAAGAATAGAATGCGCGCATTAGACGGTATTGTCTTTTATTTACAATTAAAATTACACTTTCTTTAAAAAAAAAAAAAAATCAGAGCATCATTCACCTGTTAGTTTTTGGTTGCAGTGACTAATACCTCTTCCATGTTTTCAAATGAATGTTTAAAATGTATCTATGCATTTGTCATTTAATTTATACGCTCCTACAATGAAAATATACCTCAACTGTTAATGCATATTTATATGCCAATCTGTCTACATAAAGCTCTAAATGCAAATCCAAAAATTAAAAATGTTCCCCTTACTGGTAAGGTAGAGCAGGCTGCCATATTGTTAGGCCAGGTTTCAAATCCCAAAGAAGGCTCAGATATTTGCAAAAGTACAGTGCCTTTAGAAATGCCCATGGAAGATCTTAAAAAAAAAAAAACCGAAAATCTCCTCGAACGTTTGGTAGTAGAGGAAGAGGATTATGAGATCCTTAGATTCCTTCCTTTTAGTTATTCTCTGCCAAAATTAGGAAAGAAGTAGGTGGAGTCGTAATGCTGTAAGGTTTTTCTCCCTCTTTACTGCATGCCTTCATTGCTGTAATTAGAAAGCACATCCGGCCAACAGTCGGAAGGTCCGGAGTTCTAGCTTTGGCGAAAACGGTTCACATTTTTCTCGTCTCCTGCCCAAAAATATAAAAACCTAATAATTCTACAGTAACTCCTGAACTGAAAGGTGGTGGATGATAATTCGTCGTCACTAGGATTTGGCGGCTGGGAACTCCTCCTCGGTCACCTGTTAAGAGGGGTTGAATGTAAGTTTTTTCTGCCTCTTTACTGCTTGCATTGTTGGTGTAACTAAAACACACGTCCTTCTAACAATCGAAAGATTCGGAATTCGAGTGCAGGCGAAGGAAATGCACATTGAATTCGCGAATCGAGTAATAATACAGATCAGGAGAATAAGTAACCGCAACAGAAGCAGTAAGAAATTAAAATGCTAGGAAAAAAATTTGTACTAAAAGGGATAGTCAAACTTAAAGCACAGAATAGAAGATCAAGAGCAAAACCTAAACTGAGATGACATTATGGACCTACAAAGGATTACACTTTGAATGAAAACATGAAAAAAGGCATGTAAAAATTCACAAAATCCAAAAAACTAAAATATATAACTTCAAGAAGGAGAAACATTAGTATAAAAAATAAGATGTGTAACTCAGAGAAAATATAAAATTACAAAATCGCAATCTAAAATTGCAATAAAAAAGTAGAGAAGTTGGGGAGGTCATAATTAATTTATTTTGTTGGAAGGAGCGAAGAAAGACATGCTTATCATACGACCTAGGGACTGGCTTCTGTGCTGAAAGTCGGTGGTTAAAGTCCTATTTCCATAGGAATTAGATCGTTGCATGTATGAATATGCTAACGTATACTGGATGTTATTAAAAGTCATTACAATTGGATGTTATTAAAAGACATATATTTCCAGTTACGAAATTTTTTTAATTATGTTAAATATTCATGCTATAGCACTTTTTAATTTAAAAGTTCAGTTTTGTAAAATTTAGGAACTTTTTTTTTAATGTTCAGCGATCTGTTTAGTAAAAATTTATACTCTTTCGAAAAAAAATAATTAACCACAGAATATTTAATTCCCGTATGAAGAAGACTAAGAGACAAACTTTAATATTTTTAACTTTCAATTTCAGTCAACATCATCTCAAGGAAAATAAAACAGGAAAATCGACAACCTTGTATTCGGCGTAGATTCTGTAAACTCCCAATCGATTTCGAGGGCAAAACGGGTCCCACTTCATCAGTTGCACAAGTTTTTGCAGAAATCTTTGCTCCTGATGAAGGGGGGCCCGTTTTGCCCTCGAAATCGTTTGAGATTTTACAAAATCTATGATTAATATAAGGTTGCCGATTCGCCCGTTTTATTTTCCACGTCGGCGTGATTCTCTTACGTCTTGATCATCTCTAGGTTTTAAAATTAATATCTCGGTTAATATTTATCGGATGGGTATCTGATATTTTGTCTTTTATTTTTTAGGTTGAGCATAAACTTTTACTAAACATAACTATATGGACAGGAGGAGAATATAAAATGTTAAACTTTGCTATTTGTACGAAATTTATATTTTTTTATTTATTTATAAGGTACTTTCTCCTTCCT